ATCAGCATTTGGGAGAGACTGAAAGATGTAATCAAGAATTTTATTAAGAGATCTGATAGAATCATGCTCACAATTGCATAGCTAAGTAGAATTCAGGCAAAGTTTATGGGTAAAGATAACACCTTTTGTTGAGTCAACTACTATGACTAGAAAAAAAATGTTTCAGGCACAAAAATCTTTTTCAGGTTTATCATTTTCTCATTTCTGCTCTGAAATCATATTTCCAGTCAGTAAAAACACTGACATTGGATTTTTTAACTGATTAAATGTACACAACATTTTTTTTTTCCTAACACTATAATTCAATGCAATTATATTGATAAACATCACCCTCACTCATCTCGAAACGGTCTTCTCCTGGTACTAAATTTCTTTCAGCTCAAATTATATCCCCTGAAAAGTTATTCAAAGTAAATAAAAAAAAAGAGTTCTCTAGAAGAAGAATATTTACAGGCCACTGGTAGAAGTCAGGCCTATTAAAAAAGTAAAGTTCAGTATCGTTCAAATAAATATCCACCAAAAAATAAAGCATAGAGTTACTAATAGAATCACTTAGCAAAAGGTAAATCAAAGAAAAAAAACAGTCTTTTGGTAAACAAAAATATAAATAAAAATTCTACTGAAAATCATAGTAAGTCTTACACGGTATGTAAAAAATCAGAACTACAAAGCCCACAGTGCCAAAGAATACCACCCTTCTCTTGTTTGGACTAACATTTTACATAAAATCCCAGAGGAGTCTCACAAACCTCACTAGGAGCAATGTTACAAACACACACGTGTATGCTAATAAAATGCTAGGGTTTATTTGGGGGTAGAGGGGGAGTTATTTTGACTCACAATGAAAATTACTAGATTTAGTTTTCATCTAGAGATTTTTTAATAACTGCCCCAGTTGAAATTATGTAGTCAGACCTATACATTTTATGGAACTTCTAGCGAGTAATAAATTGCCAACAAAAAGACTAACATTGCTTTAACCACGTAGAATTAGAGTAAAAAAGTGGTTCAACAATGCAACCAACAATTTCAACTGTTGAGCATGAGAAAAGCAGTCTAAAGCTAGCTCCTGAGAGTCTGTAATAAATGTGGGCTAAAAAGACTGCACATTTCACCTGTGTCTGGGAAGGAATGCATCCAGGATCCACCACTGGCTCCCAGGTGGTGAGAGGTACTGTGTTACAGAGCTGTGAGCACATCCACAGTGGTACGCAGAGCCCTGTGGGATCACCTTAGCTCCACAAGAACCACCTACTGTTCCCCAGGAAGCCAGAATGCTGGATGGCATCAGGCAAAGATATGCAAGAGGCCATGGATGCAGGAAGAGAAACATATTAATGCTGCCACAGCATCGTTGCCACCACTCTGTTAGAAACAATTTATAGAATCTCAGAATTGCAGAATAGTTTGAGTTGGAAGGGACTCTCAAAAGTCATCTAGTCCAAACCCCCAAGAAATGAACAGGGACACCCACATGTAGATCAGGTTGTTCAAAGCCCTGTCCATCCTGACCTTGGGTGTCTCCAGGGATGGGGCATCTACCTCCTCTCTGGGCAACTTGCTCCAGTGCCTCACCACACTGACTGTAAAATACTTTTTCCTTGTGTTCAATCTAAATTTTTCCTCCTTTAGTTTGAAACCATTTCCCCTTGTCCTATCACAACAGCCATTCTATGATTCCATGATTCTATGAAACAGAGCCTGCTGAAGGGTCTGTCCCCTTCTTTCTTATAGCTCCCCTTCAGGTACAGAAAAGCCACTACTGAATGGCAGCCCTGGGGAAGGAATAAAGAGAAAAGGCAACTACTGTGCACTAACAACTTCAAAGGGAATGAATATGAGGAAATGGCACAAAGTGCTGAGTGGCTGCTCTGCACTACATTTTCTCAAGTGAGTCCTGCTGCTTCTTAAAAAAAAAAATGATGCTCAAAGTAAGGCTGTATACGAACAGGTAGAAAAGCAGTCTGTTGAGGCTGTGATCCCAGAAACAGTGTGACCACTCGTTTTTCAATCAGTTCACTTTCCCTGCCTGACTGGTTCATGCTGTGGCCACATACGGATTTGGACCAGGACAGATCAAAGGTGCCAGAATGGCATGGATGAGTGGCTGGGACCTGGAATGGGGGCTGTGCATGCACAGCTGTGCCACCAGACACATTCACAAGAAGACATATCCTCAGTGTTGGTAATTAAGCGAGATTTGTTTTTTTACAAGTAACATAAATAATTGAATGTGAAGCAAAGACTTAATATCTGTTTGAACAATCCTTCAACCTTAGGCAAAATGGTTTGGCCTAAACATGTTAACCTTTATCATTAGTGGAGATGTTAAGAATGGCATGTTGTATGGATTTTGCCTTAAATTGGTGTGGATATTATCTACATAAAATCCCTTTCATACTGTGCCAAAATCAAAGATTTTTGCCTTTTTTTTTTTTTTTTTTTAAAGAGAATAGCATCCTAGTGGGTGGAAGACAAAAATGTGACATTCAAATTATATCCTTCACGAAATTATGACATCTTCAAAGCTAGTAACTGAATTTGTTTCATAAACAAATTACAAAATCATTCTAACTTGATTTGATAGTTATCATGGACTATAGGTAACTGACTGCAAATAACGACTTAAAGTATCAACCTTTTCAACCTGTGACTTTTTTGCTAAAAAGTCCTTGCCTTCAGATGCACTGAGAATTCAGTCTTTCTCTGCTTGACAAGATTTTGTTTCATGGGAAAGATTTTAAGTCTACTATCAAGTGATACTACAGTGTAAGGCAGAACTAACTGGTTTTATTAGCTACCTTTACTTCAGGCTAAATGAAAGGAACAATTTTGCCCCAGTTACACAGCAAAGCAGTTGGAATCAAGAAAAGCAACCACATGGTGCCACAGCAAATATGCAAGTGCATGACCAGAAGCTTGATAGGTTCACTGACTCAAAACGGAGGGCTTGGGAACCGTCTGTCCAGTTATGGGAGAAAGAGTTGCAGTGATCCAGGAGGAAGGCAGTGCTAAAGAAGCCAAGGTGATGAAAAGAGGCAACATTTTTGACAGGGAACCACACAGTTGGGTTTTCTTCAAAAGAGTACAAGGAAACAGGACACTCTTCATAATCTTTGTATGTCAAGAGAAAAAAGACAGGAGACACACTTGGCTGTCTATCTCTCTAAGGTAACAAATGTGCAAAGCCTCAATTACTGTTAAGTCCCTGGTTCCAATACCACCTGGAAACTCCTAAACTCCAAAGCCATGTCTCATTACAGCCCCAACTGAAACAAGGTGGCTGTAGAAAAGACAAAGTGAGACAGATTATAATAAAAGCTTATGTAAAGAGGTTTCCTCTCCCACCTTATACTTACAGAGCAAGCTGTAGCTCCTTATTTGAAGGAAGATCATTTTCAGCAGCCTTCTGGGCTACAAAAAAACCTAAGTTTTCTCTCCTGAGTCCTAAAGAATAGCCTTCTACTGTCCATTCTGAGAGAATATCCATTCCTAACTCTATTTGAGACTCCCTGTCCCTGCTTTAAAAAATGCAACATCAAGCTTGCTATCTGTATTCTCTTCTATCCCCACTTTCACACTGTGGAAGTTTTACTTCTGGGCTGGCCCGGCTGCCACTGCTCACTGCATGCCACAGTCTCAATGCAGCTTAGTATGCGAAAGAGGGGAGAAACAAAATGGCAGTCTGCTTCCCATGTGTCCAGCTATTGCTCTTTTAAATATGTAGCATCTGGAATACTGCAAACAAATTAGCACTGATTACCTCTGCCTTTACTTCTTCCGAGGTATCCCATTCTCTGGAAGGAAATAAACAGCCTTGCTGCTTCTGTCTAAAAACACAGGGAAGGACTTGGTCGTTCTGGTGGATGAAAAGCTGGACATGAGGCAGCAGTGTGCACTCACAGCCTGCAAGGCCAACTGTGTTCTGGGCTGCATCAACAGAGGGGTGGCAGCAGGGAGAGGGAGGGATTGTCCTGCTCAGCTCTGCCCTGTGCCTCCAGCTCAAAAAAGATGTGAAGCTGTTGGAGCGGGTCCAGAGGAGGTCCATGAGGATGCTTAGAGGGCTGGAGCACCTCTAATGAAGAAAGGTTGAGGGAGCTCAGCTTGTTCAGCTTGGAGAGGTGAGGACTCTGGGGAGACCTAATTGTGGCCTTCCAGTACCTGAAGAGAGCTTATAAGCAGAAGGGGACTGAACCTTACACAATCTAATAGTGATAGGATAAGGGGGAATGGCTTTAAACTAAAAGAGAGGAGAGTTTGATTAAATGTTAGGAAGAAACTCTCTACTCAGAGGGTGGCGAGGCCCTGGCACAGCTGCCCAGAGAACCTGTGGTGCCCCATCCATGGAGGTGCTCAGGGCCGGGCTGGATGGGGCCCTGGGCAGCCTGAGCTGCTGGGTGGCAGCCCTGCCCATGGCAGGGGGTTGGGGCTGGGTGGGCTTTAAGGTCCCTTCCAACACAACCCATTCTATGATTCTGTGATTCTGCGTTGGCAGCTCCCTACAAAACTGTCACAGAGGTCTGATAAGATGAAGTCAAATCCAATTTGCTACTGCAGGGGGTTCAGGCTGAACTGTTAAACAAGGCTCAAAATGTGTCTGTACGTACTGAGTGTATCTGCACGCCACATAAGGCTGAAATATTCACTGTGAACTGTAGCTATCAACAGACTAATAATAAATATATTTGACAGGAAAATATGGTAACTAAATTCCCAGTCTCACCCATCTGTTCCTCTGCTGTTTGTGTGTCTCCCTATCATAGTACACTTGTTTATGATTCAGCTGCCTATGTCACATGTACGTGATATGTACACACATATATATATACACACACATATATATATACACACATATATACACGCACGCAGCAGCCGCGCGCCGTGCGCTCGGCGTTCGATTGCGGTGACTGGGCACCGATCGGTCCAGTCGGGGGAGGGGGGGAGCCCCCTCCTTTCTCTCGGCGCTGGATTGGTCGCGCCTACTAGGAACCGTGTGTTGTTGTCAGAGGCAAAATGGCGGCGGCGGTGGCCGGGGCCGCCCTGCTGGGCAAGGGGCTGGACATCAGCCTGGCGGCGCTGCAGCAGCACGACCCCTACATCAGCAGCATCGTGGACGTGGCCAGCCAGGTGGCGCTCTACACCTTCGGGCACCGCGCCAACGAGTGGGTACGTCGGGCAGCCCCTCCTCGCAACCCCCTCCCCGCCGTGAGGGGAAGGGGTGGTGCCAGGCTCCGCCCCCTATGTGGGCGGGGCTTAGATGAGGCCCCGCCCCCAACCCTGTGCGGAAGTGGGGGTGCCCAGCCGTGAGGAGGTGTGAGGGTAGGGCAGACTTGGTGGCCTTGTCTGCTCCTCCTGGGCTGGGCTTGTGGCCTGATAATGGGGCTTTAAAAGTAGAGTTAGGCAGCCTGGTGTGTTGAGAGCTGGGCTAGAGGAGTTTGCTGCTGTTTGAAAATTGGTATTGGCTGGAAGCAAAGTGTGTATATGCAAGCGTTGGGTTTACCAACAGCAGAAAGGCTATTAAAGATTAAATTAACCTCATAGAGTAATTCTGTTAGCTCAAGGGGTATATCTCACACTTAACATAGCCCGTGCTCCTTCACCGCCATCCCATTGAGCTGGGTTAGAATCATAGAATGGCCTGTGTTGAAAAGGACCACAATGATCATCTCATTTCAACCCCCCTGCTATGTGCAGGGTCACCAACCACCAGACCAGGCTGCCCAGAGCCACATCCAGCCTGGCCTTGAATGCCTCCAGGGATGGGGCATCCACAACCTCCTTGGGCAACCTGTTCCAGTGCCTCACCACCCTCTGAGTGAAAAACTTTCTCCTAATATCCAACCTAAACCTCCCCTGTCTCAAATTCAAACCATTCCCCCTTGTCCTATCACCATCCACCCACGTAAACAGTTGTATCCCTTCCTGTTTATACCCTCTCTTCAAGTACTGGAAGTCCATAATGAGGTCTCCCCGGTGCCTTCTCTTTTCCATGCTAAACAAGCCCATTTCCCTCAATGTTTCCTCATTTGTTATTTTTCTTTATGGGAAAGAGGTGAAATGCTAATGGTGTTGGTTAAACACAGATAAAGGAGCTATCTTGTGTCTGGCAGATCGCATCCCTAATTTAAACTTTTTTAATGTTCTCGTTCAGGAGAAGACAGATGTGGAAGGAACACTGTTTGTTTATACAAGGTGAGAGCATTACGTCTTAACATCTGAAGGTGCAGCTTGTGGGTGTGGGAAAGCTGGGATGAAGCATGGCTGAAGGACAGAAAATGCTCCCAACTGTGTCGTACTCAGAGGTGAAAGGAAACTGAGATTGGCAAAGACAAACACAAGGGAGGAAATGCAGAAAAGGAAGGATCGTCAAAAAGGAGGGATCATCATGTACATGACTTCAAGATGTGGTTTAAATTCAGGTGGCTGAACTATAGAAATCTGTAATATTGCCTTAAATAGGATTCAGTGTTGGCAGGTTAAAGGTGCCTAAACAAAAAACAAACAGAAATAAATAATGATATGCCCTTAAAGAAAAAGAATGGTAGAAGATATGAGCACTAAATTTAGGAGTTAGTATTTCTTCAGTCTGATTGTTCAATTTTGTGGATGTTCCATCCAGCATTTGGATTTTCTCAGTGCTTGCTGTTTGTAGCATCTCTAATTACAGCTTTTCAGAGCTTGGGATTGGTCACTTACTCCAGCGTGTACTTTAGCTCTGTTGTAAATGTGTTTTGTTTTTAGGTTTCCAAAGTAGTGCCAAAGTATTTCCTTGTAGCACTGTTAAAATCAGAAAATGACAAAGTGAGCACATCTTGCAGTAGCTGGTGGGATGGATGCTGAAGAAGAAACTTCCTCTTCAGTGTTTATTTTTGAGGAGCTGGTAGGAAAACTGTGGAAGCAAGAGGCTGTTTTCAGAGGGCAAGAGGTCTTGAGTAAAATGGCAAATGGACAGGAAGGCCCAGGAGACTGAGCTTTGCGTGGAGTGGGAAGGATGGAATTAATCTTTTGAGTTCTCTTGTACCAGCAGTTGAAATTGTCATCAATAACTTTCCTAAACTCCTTTAAGGTAAATGAGGGGGAATAAAAAGGTTACCACTGCAAGAGGAAAGAACTGGCCCTTGATTTTGCTAGCAGTAGCTAGGGGTAGCTGGTTGCATGCTGCAAAACAGAGGTATTTGTCTGGTATGTGGGATTTAAACCTTCAGAACTTGACAACATGTCACCTGACATGCGTTGTATCTGTGATCTTTCATCGTGCTGTTTTGTTGGCTGAGGAAGTTTCCATTTACAGCAGAGTTTGCTATCTTTCCTGCCATGTAGGTGACTACAGCAAACAGGTTGTGAACAACATTATACAGGGCCCTTCCCACCGGTTTTATTTCTTGTGGCTTTGAACAATGTTATAAAATCATGTTACATCATAAACGTTGCCAACAGACTGCAGGTTGGAGTCTGCTGATGTTGCTTTGTTGCTTTTTATTACTGCTGTGAGAATGTAACATGGCTCTTCTGCTGGAGCTCATTTTTATCACAAATTGAAGCTTTGCAAATTCTGAGGAAGGGTCAAATATCAGGCTTCCCACTGAGTTAGTATCAATGGAAGTTCACTCTTTTACCTTAAGTACTGATTGGATTCTTGTTAGGGGTTCTGCTTGTTTCATTTCCTGTTGCACCTACTCTCCACCGCAGGTTCCCATGCTTTAGATTTCTTAGATGTCCACCAACAGGCAATTACCAGAGATGGCAATTTTACCAAATGTTTAAGCATCACGATATATTTTTGTCAAATTTGAAAGTAATGTCTCCTGTAAGGATGGTAATAGGTTTAACACCTAACATTAATAAAAACTGTCTAACTGCTTGAACCACCATGAGCAATTGTCACGATTTTTTCTCTTACATTTTAGATAGGTTTTTCAGTTTTGTCCACAATTGCTACTTGAATGTTAGTGAGGATAATAAATATAATTGCAATAATAAAATATGGAGTGCTCCTTGCTTATTTCTGAATGGAATCGTTTTCTACAAGAAACTATGGTTGGAAAATGTGATGCTAGTGATTTGGGACAAAATGAGAATTTTGCATTGTCTATGGGCGGGGAAGAAGAGCATTTTGGAGGACCATGCAACAAAAAAAAGCAGTAATTTCTTTTTTTTTCTTGACTTGATGTGATTTCTACTTGATAATTTTCAGATCAGCTTCTCCAAGGCATGGCTTCACAATTATGAACAGGCTGAGCATGGAAAATCGAACGGAACCAATTACTAAAGACCTTGATTTCCAACTGCAGGACCCTTTTCTACTTTACAGAAATGCCAGATGTAAGTATGTGATATGTTGAGTTAAATGCTGAAGAGGTGAGCTCTTCTTCAGCATCTATTCTTAGTTGAGGTAATTAGATTAGAGTTTAGCTTTAAAGGGCTGGAACTGGCTGGTTAACATTTACAATTGAAGGAGTATATTTTGCTCACTGACATGCGGAAAGAGTTGTTAAGTGCTACCTGAAATGCCAGTGTTGAAAAGGAAGTCACTTTAAACTGGCAAATAACAGACTTTTGTGGCCCCATGTACGTGATGGGTGTAGAGACTCATAGACATGTGTTGTATGTTCTGAATATACCCTCATCAGTGCTGGGATATCTTGTCATAATACAAGCACACTGAAGATTGGAATAATCCTTGTGAGCTGTGTAAGAGTAAACAAATGCAGCTAGTTCAAGCCCCTGTGTTCCAGCTCTGATACACTGTCCTTAGAGCATCTTAGAAGGTGGGTTACTTCCCAACTATTATGGGAAACAATGACGCTGTGATGCTAAGCCTAATTTAAACTCCAATGAAAGATTAAGTTATTACTGTGGGCTGTGTGTTTGTCTTGCATAATTGTCGAACTTCTATACAAGCATGCATCTGGCAAACTCAGAAATGAGAGGAAGATGTGAAAAAGCTGTGCTTTTACACACAGATAGACACACAGGCTATGATAATGCACAACTATATAAGAACGAACAATTATAAATTTTGAAGTTTATATTTGTACTTGGAAATAGAGCTATAGTATGATCTATATTTTGTTCTTGATGCATAAAAGTACATTGCAAAAAATCTTTATGTGAAATGTGTTGCAGAAGTGTTCCCTCTGGATGAAGTAAAAGCAGAGGAAATTGATGGCATACAAAGCAGCACAGTTTGATAATCTGCTAGACCTTTTTATTTCATAAACTTAATTTGGAGTTGGCATGTATATCAAGAGGGAATTCTACCACATAGTGTTGTTTCTACCACATAGCGTGCGTGAGCAATAGAGATAGCATTTTAAATAATCTAAATGAAACTTCTATTTCTGAGAGCATTTGGTGGGCTGAAAAACAGTTTAAATTTGCTATCTGAAATTCCCAAAGAAGCTGAAAAGAAATACAGACATCTCCAGGCTAACCTAGGCTAGACGAGGCATCAGGATTTTAAATATCCTGAGACTTTTCTCCCATGTGATTATGAAAACTTTGCTATGTATATATAGTCTATTTTTTGTCTTGTTTTGAAATTCTACTAGGAATTTGTTATGTATATACTCATACCTACTTTCTGATGCCTGATCTATTAATTCTTTATTTTTGTTAAGACAATTAGCAATAAGAATAATTAGAAGTTATCATAACTATGCTGGCATGAAGAAAGACAGTCTTCAGTCCAAATACTACATATAAACTGATTTATTTAGGAGAAAAATCTGGGGGCTTTGGAGAGAAGTATAAGCCATTTGTTCACTAAGAGATGTCATAATTACAGATTTACAGAGTCTCAAATACAGGTACTAACATGCTTCTGAGCAGCGAACTTGTGTTCAGATAACACGTCTGGGTTTTTTTTTGGCTAATTGTGCAACAGCAAAATGCAGAAGGCTGCTTTTCTGGGCTCTGCATAGACAATGATTCTTTTGGAGTAGGATTTGAAAATGTGTTACCCATCAGCCTTTACAAAGCTCAGAGTGCTTTGTTGGTGTCTCTTTGCACTTCTGTGCAATTTTATTAAATCGTCCTATGCTCATAAACACACCAAAGGACTTCCCTTCATCTGGTAAGGCAATATTCCCTTCTGCTAGGAGACATTGTAGATCTGTACTACAAAGCTGCAGCATAAAGAATTTTGAGTGTAATGTTAGAGATCAAATGCAAGAGTTGTAGTAGACAAACTAAGTAGGATTGAAGCCACAAAAGTGAAAAGGATGTCCTTGGAGACAAATTACTGTGCTGGTTTTAGCTGGAAGAGAGTTAATTTTCCTCATAGTAGCTTGCATAGTGCTGTGTTTTGGATTTGTGACTCCAGCAGTGTGTGTTCACATACTGATGCTCTTGTGATTGTTGAGTATCTGGTATAGTTGCTTTCTCACGTAAGAGGACTTACATTTTCAGTCCCGCCCAATGTTTTGCAAGTTCTAATTTTCTGACCTTGTTATATTGCATCTATCATCTTAGAAAAATTGTTTTGCATTCAATATATTATTGCAATAGGAAACTTTCTAAAACCATATTAAAGTAAATGTTATTAATAATTAAGAAACTTTTTTGATCTTTTACTTTATTGTGCTTCATACTTCTCCTGCTGGTCCATTGTTCTCGGTAATCAAGAATTGAAATACGATCTAAGAACCCTTTTCAGACACCTGTGATTTATTCACAGGTCTTTGGGGGTTGGTGTTGGGATCCATGCAAGTGGATGAAATGATAAGTTAAATGAGTGCACTGATCCACTCTTTCATAGAAAAGTTTAGTTTGGAAAATCTAGTCAGGCAGGCATAAGAATTATTCATTTCAAAGCCAAGAGAATTAGATACAGGTTACAGCATGTTTAATGCCAGAAGAAATCTTTAATTCCAACAAGAAACAAATGGCATATCAGTCAAATAAGTGAGGTAGCCTTTCAGTACTTGAAGAGAGGATATAAACAGGAAGGGGTACGACTGTTTACGTGGGTGGATGGTGATAGGACAAGGGGGAATGGTTTGAATTTGAGACAGGGGAGGTTTAGGTTGGATATTAGGAGAAAGTTTTTCACTCAGAGGGTGGTGAGGCACTGGAACAGGTTGCCCAAGGAGGTTGTGGATGCCCCATCCCTGGAGGCATTCAAGGCCAGGCTGGATGTGGCTCTGGGCAGCCTGGTCTGGTGGTTGGCGACCCTGCACATAGCAGGGGGGTTGAAACTAGATGATCATTGTGGTCCTTTTCAACCCAGGCCTTTCTATGATTTTACAAAATATTTTCTATATTATTTGTAAACATTGGTAGTTAACCACAGTTTCAGGTACTTTCTGTGCTCAAATAAGACAGTACTGCTTTTTTAACATCTAATGATTTCAAAAATTTAAAGTATTTCCTGGATTATATATTTGAGTAATCTTATCTACATAATTAATACTTTTTTCCTTAACCTTTGGTGGTGTTTATTGTGAAAAAGAACATTTGGAACCTCCTGCTTGAAGCCTGATGCTGGTTAATGTGAAATAGTTCAGAAAAATGCATAACTGTAAATTGTTGGGTGAAATAACTTCAGTTTCTCCTTCAAGCAGTGGTCAACTATACAGTAATTTACTTGAAACTATTCCCAACAGTGTACCAGGTGTATGTGATCGAATGCTGGACCAGCAAATTATTTCTTATGTTGATTGATATACAATTTTATCACTGAATACTGTTTTTCATGCTTATAGGACATGGAGTACTTGAGGAAAGTTGCATATCTTAGAGCTCAGTACACCTTCTGTGTTTTAGCTGCCAGCAAAAGATACCAGATCCAGCTTACAAGGAGCTTGTATGCCAGTTATCACTGCTAATTATTGTACTGCAGGAAGTGGAGAAAGAAACTGTGGAAGCTCTACAAATAGTCTAACCAAATCTACAAATAGAATCTGATAGATTCTATGGCCATTTGTGCATTCTAGGTCATATCTCTAGCAAGGCCTTTGGTCACTCTATCTTGTAAAATTGAAAGTGAATGAAGCTTTCTAGCCAGATGTGACATATTCTATTGAATATCAGGTTTTGCAGAAGTCCAAGAAGTGCTACACAGGCAGCTCAGACGTGCTTGCTTCTCGTAAAGATGCCTCGTAATAATTTCAGATTAACTTGCCACCTTCTGTTTGTCAGAACCCTAAACAACTGACATCATTTTTCTAGATTTCTACACTGCAAAGACTTCTAGTAGATGAGATTAGAAGTTTGCCAGCTGTCCAAAGAAGTAGCTTAAACTTTGTCATGGGTGGGTTTTATTGCTGCTGTTGTTTTCTCTCTCTCCTATGTCATAACTATTTTTATATGATTTTTTTTTTCCCAAATATAGGTTTGTGTTTCAAGGCAAATTATTATAAACTGTTAGGAGTATATATTTTTCTTAAACTTTTCATTTGTAGATTCTGTGTTGCAGCATACTAGAGCACTCTCAAACAGAAGAATTCATCTTCTTGGGAGACTAATTCAGGTCCCATTCGTTAACTCTTCCAATATTTATATACTGTATATAAATATACATTGAATAGCTGATGTGTCCTGATTCTGTAGGCGTGTTGGAAGACTCACTGATCCTGCAGGTAGACTAATGGTAAATGGTCTTGTAAGGAGCAGCTTGACTAGAAGAATATGAGAGGTTTACTTCCCGAGAGGAAAGAGGAGACCACAGTAGTAGAATTTGGGTGATGTGTAAAACTGAGTATAGCATGAATAAGTGTGTGCTTTACCCTGAAATTTATTCTTGTTCTGTCATAGATTAGATATTCTATAATTCAGTATTATAAATCTGTTCTTGTTAACCAGATTTGGCTGATTTTTTTTTCTAAAAGCTTGCCTGGATCAACCACTGACGTTTGCTCAGAATACAAATTTGTGTGTTTTACCTGAGGTACTGTCCTTGGGAGACATCTTTCTCTAGAAAAAATAAACAAGTAGCTCCTCCTCCTTTCCTTCTACCACCTCTCCTTTGATCAGTGTGATAAAAATTCATCCTGCCTCCAGCTGGGCAGGAACAGCAGCCGAGGTCAGGATTGTCCTCCAGGGATATTCTTCACCTCTGATTGAAACCTCTGTTTTGCTGAGAACATTTGAATCCTAATGTTTTATATGAAAATAATGTCCTAGCAGATGTTATTTTTCCTTTTTTAAAAGGAAAATATTCATACCAAAAGTACATTAACATTGCAGTGTTGTTTCTAAAATCAGAAAATTAACTTGACAGACAGGATTAACTGTCACGTTACATGCCTGTTTTTAAAAACCTATTTTAGCATCTGTGTGGCGTGTCTTATAGTTCATTATATGCAAATTTTCTCAAAGCA